ATCCATCCATCCATCCATCCATCCATCCATCCATCCATCCATCCATCCATCCATCCATCCATCCATCCCAAATCCATCCATCCCAAATCCATCCATCCATCCATCCATCCATCCATCCATTCATCCATCCATCCCAAATCCATCCATCCCTGTCCATCCATCCCTCTCTGATCCATCCCTCATCTATCCCTGTCCATCCATCCCTCCCTCCCTCTGTCCATCCCTTCCCCGCTGTCCCAGATGCCCCTGCTGGCCGAGGGGATCCGGCTCCACGGTGAGAAGCTGACGGAGCAGCTGAAGCCCCTGCACGAGCGGCTCTGCGCCTGCTTCCGGGAGCTCCGCACCAGGGTGGAGAAGCAGTACGGGATCGTGGCCTTGGTGAGGGACCTGCCCGTGCCCCGTTTGTCCCAAAGATCTCTTTTCCCAAAGGAACCCCTCTCCCACCCATGGGGGTGTCACAGAACCCCTGGGACAGAGCTCGGGTCTGAGCTGTGCCCGATGTCCCCAGCCCAGGGCACTCAGTGCCAACTCGGGAATGGCCTGGACACTCCAGGGATGGGCACCCCAAACCCCCCAGGCAGTTCCAACCCCTGAGCACCCTTTCCATGGGGAAATTCCCGCTGATGTCCCCCCTGCCACTCCCCAGCCCCACCTGAGGCCGTTCCCTCTCCTGTCCCTGGGAGCAGAGCCCGTGCCTGGTGCCAGCTGTGGGTGCAGCCTGTCCCTGTTCCTGTCCTTGTCCCTATCCCTGTCCCTGTTCCTGACACTGTCCCCCTGCAGACACCCGGTGCCAGCTGCGGGTCCAGCCTGTCCCTGTCCTTGTCACCCTGCAGAGCCCCCAGTGCCATCCCTGGTGCCAGCTGTGGGTCCAGCCTGTCCCTGTCCCATCCCTGTCCCTGTCCTCATCCCTGTCCCTGTTCCCTGTCCCAGTCCCTGTCCCTGTCCCCTTGCAGAGCTCCCAGTGCCATCCCCGGTGCCAGCTGCAGGTCCATTCTGTCCCTGTCACCCTGCAGAGCCCCTTGTGCCATCCCCAGTGCCAACTGTGGGTGCAGCCTGTCCCTGTCCCTGTCCCTGTCCCTGTCCCCATCCCTGTCCCTGTCCCCGTCCCTGTCCCAGTCCCTGTCACCCTGCAGAGCCCCTGGTGCCATCCCCAGTGCCAGCTGTGGGTGCAGCCTGTCCCTGTCCCAGTCCCTGTCACCCTGCAGAGCCCCTGGTGCCATCCCTGGTGTCAGCTGCAGGTCCAGCCTGTCCCTGTTTGTGTCCCTGTCCCTCTGCAGAGCCCCAGCCTGGTGCCAGCTGTGGGTCCAGTCTGTCCCTGTCCCACTCCTGGTCCTAGCCATGGGGCTGGCACTGTGCTGGGCTCTCTGTCCCCGCAGCCGTGGAGCTGGCCCTGTACCCGTCTCTCACCCCCCTCTCTGTCCCCGCAGCCGCAATGGTGGCCCTGCACCAGTCTCTCACCCTCTCTCTGTCCCCACAGCTGTGGGGTTGGCCCTGTACCTGTCTCACCCCTCTCTCTGTCCTGCAGCCACCGGCGCTGACGGAGCGCAAGCCCAGCCGCTCGGGCTCCGTGGTGCTGCCCTACCTGCTGCCCTCCCCCCTGCGCCGCCTCTCCGTCACCTCCGTGGCCTCGTCCGTGGCCTCCACCTCGTCCACCTCGTCCGACAGCGCGTCCTCCAGGCCRGGCTCGGACGGGTCAGTGCCAGCATTTATGGGATTTACCGTGGGGTGGATGAGCCTTTGGAGCCTTTGTGGGGATCCGTTGCTCTGAAAATCAAGACTTTTTTCCCCATAGTAACACTTGGAAACACATTTAAA